CTGTGAAATGGGATGAGACATATTTTACAGCCGTATTTTCCATTTAATGTTAAAATTAGGACGAGATTATACGTGGTTGTGGAGTTTTTCTGGCATACTCTCAGGAATGCAACGAGGTGGAAATCCGGCGGGTCGCCAGATCCGGCGGATCACCCGAAAAACCCTTATGTGGGACGACGGCGGGGGTTAAGAAATGCGGGAGATGCCTGGTCCAGTGCTCTTAATAGTGCAACCAGTGCGTGTGGACACCTCAAACTGCTCAAATAGTGCGTGTGACTCGGCCGCACTAAACCACCAGTCCGTTTGACTCGGCCACACTAAACTACCAGTGTGAAAGCAATGCCGACACTGCACTATTGGTCCGTGTTAAATTGACACACTGCACTGCACTGGCAACTGTGCTGTGCACTATTAGTGCAATCAAGTACCTTAGAGGCAGCTACCCTACATATGCTAGATAGTGGGTACCCATTACCCCACCTATGTGTAATGGCACGACTGGTATCTTCTAACATCACAATATCTGCAAACATCACCTCCCAAGTTGTTGCAACTATTCCGGTTGGGAGAGCGGCTACACAGTTGAGATTTAAAGCAACAATACGTAGGGCTGCTCTTGAATATACAGCTGTGCATACCTGAGCTCTGCTCTCGAGGCGTACATGCCGACGAGTGCGATCGTTTCAGTTGGCAAGTACCTGCCGTACAGACGCCATCCGGGTGCATATGCTGTATCCGCTAACTTTCCTTAACACTTCGCCCGAAATTATTCGCGACGCGTGCTGGCGCGTCCCGTCGCGTGCTGGCGCGTCCCGTCGCGTGCCGTGGCGCCACGCTCTGAGCCGCCACGGGTCATAAATTCGAAACTGGCTGCTCCGCCTGTTGCGGCCTGGGCGCACTAATAGTGCGACTATTAGTGTGAGATCCTCGCACTGAACTACTGGTCCGTGTAGTCGAGCTGCACTGAACCGTCAGTGTAGTGCGAGAGCCTTGCACTGAACCATCAGTGTAGTGCGGAAAGCCTACACTGAACCAATAGTCCACGCACTATTAGTGTGCACTGCAGTGTGCACTAATAGTACAGTTCATGGTCCGCACTATTAAGAGCGCTGGCCTGGTCGTGGGTTATTGTAACAGGGAGCACCAGAAGAGCGACTGGAAGGCCCACAAGAAGGTGTGCAGGCATCGTGGAGCAACTGCAGGTTGACCAGAACTATGGCAATGATTGAGGTGGACGGGAAGAGGAAATACTATTATGTTCCAGGGTGCGTTTTCCTTTCTGAGTCTTATAATCAAGTTTCCAGGTGAAGTTTCTCCTCGAGGTTTCTCCTAACTTGTTCCACTTTACTTGTTGTCCAGTAGCTTTTTGGGTGGTTGACGAGTGCGATGAGGTCGAGCCATGTCAGACGTGGCAGGCCTCGCGGATCCTGGGTCGGTCGGGTCCGGCTGCTGAACTGCCAGCACGGTCTCCGAATCCGTTTCGTCGACGTCATCGTGCGACGCGGGGCTATCGCTGCTGCAAGCCGCAATTATGGTAGAATTGGTAGGCGAAAGTCTTGGTTTCTTTGTCGGGGTTTCGTCAGGGCCGATGACCGGACGCTTCAGAGCCGGGCCTTGGGAGGCGGGCGGCACGGATGAGGGCGTCGCAAGCGGCGTGCCGCCGGACGGGACTTTGCGTTTCTTTGTAGATGTGAAGCGTGCCAAGGCCTCGTCGTAATCAGATTTTGCGGAGATGAGATGTTTTGGCGTTGTCGGGACAAGCGTTGTCGTCGACGCTTGATTGAAACTGCCTTTATCAAGGAAGGTCCAAGTGTCGGGGACGACAATGAAGACGTAATCCGCTTCGAAACCCGGAGGCTGCCGCATGGCGCGGTGGGCCAATAAGCCAGCAACCTTCCCCGTGCAAGTGAAGAGCGCGTGCGACTGAAACTGAGAGTCGCGCCGCTCAGCCATTTTCTGACAGAGGGATGTCCAAGGGTTAGCATGAATGGGGAAGATGACAAAAACCTGAAACGGATGGTATCCCCTGAAAGGCGCCTTGGCTGGCTTTCCAGGGCAGATGAAGGTGGAGAGGTGAACAAAGCCGCAGCATTTGAGCTGCGCTTCGTCGAAGGCGGCGGCAAGGTTGGCGTGTAGGAGGTCGCAACCTGAGCCGATCACAGGACCGGTAAAGGAAACAATGGGTAACATGCTTGGGTACGAAGGCCGTCGAATTCAGAAGGCGAGGGGCGATCCTACGAGGTTAGTCAAAGGGCCATGCTGCTAAGGAGGCTGCCCGAGGAAGGATGCATACGGCTGGTAGCTATGATCGCGGACGACGAAGACAGGAACGGTGTATTCAATGATGTTGTCATCGTCGGACTCGAGGCCGTCGCGTTGTTCGAGTTCCCATGTAAGCGCAAACGGATGAACGCGACCAACCATGAAGAACCATTGTTCAACCCACTCGGCAGCATCGATTTGGATATTGTACAAGGAGATGTTGAGGCTGAAGAAGATAGAGGACGACGCGGTTCCGGAGTCCGACTGAATAGGGGCATATTCTGGTGTGGAGAGCCATTGCGGCGTGGGCAACTGGATCTTGGCAAGGGTCTCCGCGTTTAGGCCTTTGACGCGATGGTCGTCCTGGTAAGCGAACCTGGACGGACAGCCGGGCTGAACAAATGCCATCATGGACATGTCGCCACCGACATTCCTCTGGCTGTTGTCGCACTGCACGTGTGCATGACTAACTGACGACCGAGTAGAAGATCCCCAGCGAATTGGGCAACAAAAGACTCTTGATTCTTCTATCTAATGAGTGACTGATGTCGGTAATTTATACCTGTACCCGTAGGTGTTGTAGCCTTGGATTGGCCGTAGGCATCTGAGACATCGCAGGCAGCAGATGCGTCGCGTGAGGTTGTTCCCACCATTGGTAGGCAGCGGTGCTGTTAACGGTCTACGTGAATGAGCGGCTTGATGTTGACAGCTGTCGAGAGGTTTACGTTCGAGGGGCATGGTGTCGTGCTGTTGTGAGGCTGGCATTGCGTATGCAGAAGCCTGAAGGAGTTGGAAATTTTGCTACTGGGGTTTCGCGTGCTTCTTTTCGACTCACACAGCATCGGATAAAGGGTTTGCTGAAGCGTGAGGGAACAGAGACTGCTTAACTGCTTAGTTTTCTCGACGATAGGATGTATCAGAAGAGCATGTATGCCGAGTGTCTCAGCCAAGGGGTCACGAGAAGCCTTGGTCATGTGTGTTGAGGTCGTAAGGTATGGTTGCAGTCAAACGAGTGTGTAACAGTGACGCGAATCGTCCGTTGCCCGTTCGCCGTCGGGTAGTTGAGCAGACGCGGATGTTGGTGGATCGGATGCGGAAAGAAAAAGAAAGTCCATCGGATTGTTTCATCGAGAGTGGTACGGGGAGATGTTGGGGTTGGCTGTAATGGCGAATGAGAGGGTTGAAGGAGAAACAGTGCTGTCGCATTGCAGGAAGTCAAGTTGGATGGTTCGTGCAGAGCCGCCGTCGCCTCGATCGGTCGGCGGAGGGTTGCAGGATGGCCCCCCAATGGCAGCAGAATCGGGGAGCAGTTCACAATAATACGGCGGCATCCGGAAGGGAAACGGGCATTACAGTTCAATCGTGGAGAGAGGCCACTAAAAACGCCCGCGCAAACCAGCTCGGATCACATCTTCCAGATTTGTGGGACATGCGAATCACTAAGCACCATGAGGAGGGCTCTTCGGCCTTTGCTGCCAAAGCTAGCAGGGGATGGGAACGCAAAAGAGTCCAATACGGGCATTTCGGGGCTGAGTAGGCCCGGCGGTTCTGCTCAGAACGACCAAGGTGGGAGCGGTGTCGAATATCGTCGAGAAGGAGCTCTAGGGCCGCTGTCGTCGGCATGGCGATCAAGAGAGATACCCAAGCAGATGCGAGGGAGGCGGGTGCGGCGACGTGAAAGATGGGCCAATGCCGCAAGCTCATGTCGACCTATTGAAGTGAACGGAGTTGCGGAGGCCAACCAGCCGCCGAGATTGTCCGTCCAAGTCGAAACGATCGCCGTCGAAGGGGCAACTGATGCGAAGAGCCATGGAGACTTTCCCAACTCCTATACTGCGCCGTCCAGGGCCCAGCAGCCCGGGCTATCGGTCGGGGGTGAGGCCGGCGCCGTGAGAAATTCGCCAAATCAAGCACAGGACTCGGGACAGCCGGCCACGCGCCGCGTTGGACCACAGGCGACATCACTTTCTGATAGCAAAGCGCGGGATGAAGCACTGGGCAACAAGGCTGGCCCTTTTCGGCATATTATGCCGAACGGCTCCGTGGAGGCCAGTCAACAGCCGGCGGGGCCGTCATCGTTGCCGCGGAGGATATCATTTCGGGATGTCACGAAGACCGTGGAGCGAGCCGCTGACACCACACGCTCTTCGCCGGCGGGGCCTACTCCTGGCAGGGTACCCGGCTGCTCCTCGCAAGCGTCTCTGCCCTTGAAGGTGACGAAGCAATTGGGAAGCGCACCGGCACGCTCAAAACTAGGGAGTCAATCCGGCGGGAGGTCCGGGGGTGGCCTGGAAATGCGGCGGCGGGACGCGAGTCAGCATATTTCGCGGCCTATCCGGCCGAAGGAGATGGAGCCGGAAGAGAGCAGCGAGCGTCTCATGGCTGGTACCGCCGGCCACGCTTTGTCCACGAGAGACGGCGAGGCAGGTGCGGCGAGACTGCTGATGGGTGGCCAGGTTCAGGAACAGGTCGCGGGACGGCGCCGTAGCCCACAGCCCGCTGGGATCCAGCATGTTGCGAGCCCTGCGGTGGGGAAAAGGCGGGCAGCCCGCGCTGATGGGAACCACCCTCCGAGGAAGCGTGTCCGGACGGCTATCTGGAAGTTGAGGACGGAGGAGGAGCAAGCGCATGAGTTGGCCAGCGTCATGCGGTTTCTCGAGGAGCAATTTGCCGTGAAGGAGAGGTTGTCGAGCGAGCAGACGTGGTCTACGCCGGGTCCGCATGAAAGAAAAGTTTCAACGGTTCGCGAATTCTATCGAGCCTTTCACGACAAGAGCACCTTGGCGATCCAGACGTGCATGGTGTGCTACCGGAAACGCACAGAGAAGGAGCTGTGGAGGATGCCGTGGAGCGACTGGGTGTCAAGAGTCGTGCCGAGGGGAGGACGCTCCCCATTCGGCTGTCCGAGTTGCTTTCCCGCCGGCAGGTCCGTGCCCGTCTGCGCGGAGTGCGCCCGACACCTGGGGCGCGGCAGCCTATCGCCAGCTTCTCAGCTTCACGGCCGCCTCCGGTGCGAGCACGTGTTTCCCGAGGAGCTCAAGGGCCTCTCGCCGGTTGAGGAGAAGTTGATCGCGCTAAACTCGTGCTACGGGCTCTTCACACGCCATGCGGTCTCCGGTGGGCAGAGGCAGGCCGTGCGGTACCCGAAGCACGTGAAAGGTCACATTACCGTGTTCCCGAATAATGTGCAGGAGTTGGCAACCAAAGTGTTGCCACATCCGCTTTTGCAAGTCATGGACGAGATCCACGTGTCGTGGCAAGGGCCGGAAAAGCCGACGCCGACCGATCTTTCGGGATTGTTGTCGGTAAGACGTCGGGTGGTTGAGAGGGCCCTCGTCTGGCTGAAAAAGAACAATCCCCATTATGCCGACGTCGAGATCGACCAGGCCGAGATGGACACCTGGGGAGCCCCGGTTGATGGGGTCCCGCTCGCAGTCTCTAATCGCCTAGAGCGGTACGAGCCGTCCGCGTGGGAGAAGACGCGAACGGCGCATGTGGTGCCGGCTACGGAGCGTGGCATGGATGAGGAAGGGGCAGTGGAGATCGAAGACATTCTTGCCTCGCTCGACGGCGGGGACAATTCTCTGGAGGGTCGGGCCGACTGGGAAGGGGATGGGGTAGGCGACGAAGGGGACTTGCATGCCGAATGTGGCCGTTCCGCCGACCCTGGGAGGGAGACGGTCAATGAGGTGACATCTTCCGGTATGTTTGCGCTGGACGGTGCGCCGGACGTGGCGGACGTCGAAAAGCTGCGATTCGCCTGCCAGGCGGTTGGTGGCACGGCCGGCGATGGTCGGGCCGGCCCGCAAGCCGCGGTGCTAACGCCGGGGGAAGGAGCCTCCGAGGTCGCGGAGGGCCGCGAGGCGTTCATTCGCGTCTCAAGGGGTGACGACTTTGCCGACTCGTCTGAAGCCGCCTTCTTTGCGAAGACGTTTCCGACCTTGTTTCCGTTCGGTGTGGGAGGGCCACGGTTGGCCGAAGAGGCCGTACTTGACGCAGGGCAAGCTAGCGCCCCCGCCGCGACGGCTTCGTATGGCAGGGCGGCGGAGGCGGACGCAGCTGCCGGATCCCTCGTCGCCTCCAGGAACCTGAATCTCCGGGCATGGGCTGATATCGTGCTCCGTCGCCACGGCGGGCGATTCGCGACGCACCACATCTTCGCGTTTCTAGTATTCAACATGGGAGTGCGGTCGAGGAATCGCCGTGTTAGCATGCTGAGCGTGACGCGGAAGAACTTTCACACAATCGAGCGCATAGTGCGGTCAATGACGCCCGAGAGATTAGCGGCGGCGAGCACGGAGTTGGAGAGCTCGGGCAAAACCAGCGACGACGGCGTCAAGGACTTACTTAGGAGCCTGTCGCTGTATGGATATCGGCAGCCCATGTCGAGGGAGACACGCCTGAATATGCGGCGCAAGATCCAATCGCTCATTGTCGGGCACGGCGTACCGGCCATCTGGTTCACCTTGAACCCGAATGATATCACGAACCCGGTGAAGCTGCGTCTGGCAGCGTACCGCACACGCGATCCTGACGAGGCCGAGGCATTCCTCGAAGGCCTCGGGAATGCATACAAGCGAACACGGCTGGTCATCTCAGATCCGATGAGCTCCGCCACATTCTTCCACCGCGAGATGACCCTTTTCTTCGAGAAGTACGTCAATCTGGGGGAGGAATCGGTGTTTGGACGAATCAGCCAATACTTTGGCGCCGTGGAGACGAACGAACGAGGGGCGCTCCATATTCACGGCTTGCTCTGGTTGCACGGCAACGCGCAGCTGGCATCGGTGCTCGCCGATGTTCATGGAGAGGAGCAGACCGCGTACCGGGAGCGAATCATTCGCTACGTCGACAGTGTTTTCTCCGAGGTACGGCACAAAGGCGCTGCATTCGGCCGCGGGCGATGCCCTGCGCGACGGCGAGGATGAGGCTAACACGGCATGGCAGGACCTCGACGCGGAAGGGTTTTGCGCCATTCAGGCGGAGCGATCAGCAGTCTCGGACATATCCACCAGGTTGGACGACATGGAGCAATTCTCGTCGGCTTTCGGTGAAGAGGCGAATTTCTGTGCCGGTGCGACGCAAATCCACACCCATAGCGCGACTTGCGTCAAGTATACTCTGGGCAAACAGAGGCAAGCAGGCGCCTTGTGCCGGTTCAGGGCACCCTGGAAATTGGTCGAGAAGACCGCCTTCACGGAGGAAGGGGTCCTGAAGATTCGGAGGACGCACCCCCTGGTGAACCGATGGAACAAGGCGATAGCTGTGGGTCTGCGGCACAACCACGACATTTCCTTCATAGCGACGCAGCAGAAGACCATGGCCCTCATCTATTACGTGACGAACTATTCGACCAAGATCGAAGATCCGATATGGAAGAGGGCGGTGACGGCGGCGGAGCTCCTCCCTTTGATGAGCGGCGACAACATGGCCAATGAAGGCGAGACGGTGGGGGGAAGCGGCGGGACGATCGAGCGCGCCACTGAGAACAGAACGCGACAGTTCCTGATGAAGGTGGCAAACCGGGTCTTCACCGAGCGCCCATTGTCGCAGGTCGAAGTCGTTGCTCACCTTCTGGGCTACCCGTCAGAATATTCGAGCAGCAGCGCCTGGGCATACTTGAACACGTCCTTGTTATATTGGCACATATTCCGACGATGGCGGCATCTTCGACAAGCGAGCGGTTCCACTGTCGCCAGCGATGTCGTGGACGAGTCGATCGTCGTCGAGGAGGCGGGCCACAGGCTCGGCCACGTCGAGGCCTACCATCATCGCGGCCAGCTCTTGGGAGACCTGTGCTTGTACGACTATGTTTCGATCGTGAGGCTGAAGCGGCGCGATGACAGCAAAGAGGAGCTTGCCGCCGCCTGGGGCGAGGTACCCTTCGAGGACTAGTGGTCGCCGGGAAGGGGCTGGATTCAGGTGCTCAGGCGCCCTGGCAAACAGGCGACGGTCTGCCTCGACGGCTACCTGAGCAAGGACTTCTCCGAAGCCGAGGACGATGAGGCATGCTATCGAAGGTACGTAGCGCCGTGCTCTCCAGCCAGGTCATGAAACGGGGCGGACGATGGCTGAATGTGTTATCCCACGATGAAGGGCGGCCGTGCAGCATCTTGCGCTATTCGTACCCTGGGAGACATTTCTCTGCGAGGGAAGTGGCGATATCAACGACATCTGGTGGCGAGCTCGAGGAAGTCTCCCTCCGAGGATATCTTGTGTCGTCGAGAACGTGCAGCTGCTTCGACGCTCGGCCGAGGACGCAAAGCGCGACGCGAAACAGTGGGCGGCATCATCGGCAGATGGTGACGGGACGGCTGTCCATTTCGACGAAGGCGAGACGGTCGAGGCAACCAGGGAAGCGTACGAAGTCGGCAAGATTGGGGAAGCGACGCGGCTCATGGACGTCGTGCGAAACGCCCTGAGCCAAGGCCAGGTAACTGCTGGGTCGGAAGAGCTGATGACAATGTTACAGCAGCTCGGCCGGTTCCAGCACTCGGCGCTCAGCTCAGCGGCCGAGCTCGAGGCGGCCGTAGCGCCGGAAAGCGGCGTTCGAAGGATAAGCCTGCCGGGGCAAGTGTTCACCGGGGCCGCGGTACCGTCGCAGGACCAAGTACGAGGCATCAAGTCGCAGCAGATGAGTGCCTCGAGGGAGAGAGAGAGGATGATCCAAGGCATACAAGGCGGCCACGCCGTCGCCGAAACGGATCGCCGAGCCGCTCTTCGCGCCGTACTGAGCGGTTTCGGGGAGGACGACATTGAGGTGGCGGCGACCGACATCCCTGAGATGAGCGGCACCACAGCTGCGGAGATGGAGGTGCGGCTCGGCCCGTCGAGCTCGTTTCTCGCCGTGGGCAGAGAGTGGGCAAGGCGGCTGACGCTGAACGAGAGACAATCGATCGCCTTTCTGATCATCTGTCGGCAGCTCGACCTGATGGGGGGAAACGAGACGGCCGAAGCCGAGCAGCTGTGCCAGTTCATCGGAGGCGAAGGCGGGACCGGCAAGTCGCGCGTGATCGAAGCACTGGTAAGGTTGTTCGCGGCGAGGGGCGTATCGAACCGCCTCCTCATCACGGCAACGTCCGGGACTGCCGCGGCTAGGATCAACGGCATCACGATACACTCCGCGTGCGGTTTCACCAAGGACCAAGGGAGCCTCGGCGCGAACGCGTCGAGAGACGTCGACGGGGTGCGCCTGCCCCAGCAAGGGGAGCGATTCGTCCACGGCCAGTCCCGGATGGACTGGCAGGAAAAGGACGTCCTCGTTATCGACGAGGTGAGCATGCTCGGGGCACGGACGCTGCACGCAGTCAACGAGCAACTCTGCCGGCTCCGCGGGTCGCAGCGAGACTTTGGGGGGATCCCGATCGTGCTCTTCTGTGGAGATTTCCACCAGTTTCGCCCCGTGCAGGAACGGTCGATCTTGCTGCCGAGCACGGCCATCTCGTGGGACGTGGACAACTCTTTCAAGGCCGAGCAGCGGCACCAGCACGACAAGGCGCACGCGCTGTGGAGGCGGTTCACGACGGTGATCATGTTGAACGAGCAAATGCGCGCCGCGAGAGATCCGGAGCTGCAGAGGCTGCTGACGCGCATCCGGCGGGGCGAGCAGGACCACACAGACTTGGAATTCCTCAACTCAAGGTGCTACCGGGAGGGTAGACGCATCCCGTGGGAAACGGGCATCACCGTTGTGACGCCGCTGAACAGGAACCGCTGGAACCTCAACATGGAGGCGAGCGTGGCGTTCCAGGTCCAGCAGCGGTCGATGATGCGCATCTTCATCTCGGAGCACAAGTGGAAGGACGGCGTGCCGACGGAGGAGGAGGCCATCATGATCCTGAACCAAGGCGACGATAGCGCGATCCCCGTGCCGGCGGTCTTCATGTTCGTGCCGGGCATGCCGGTCGTCGTGAATCGGAATACGTACCAGGGCCTGAGAGAGTTGGATCCCAGGATCACGTGCCCTGCTACTGCCTGGTAGGCAGGAACGCCACTGAGAAGACTGCCTAGCAGGCAGTCTCCGGCGTTAGGCAGCAGGAAGACATCAGTCGCAGCTACAAATAGCTTGCGCCTGCCGCAGTAGATAGATTGAAGCATCATCACTTGTTCTCCTAGTTCAGAGCTTCAACTCTTTAAGGCCCTGGTACGTATTGTGATTCACGACGACCGGCATCCCCGGTACGAACATGAAGACGGCCGGCACTGGTATCGCGCTATCGTCACCTTGGTTCAGGATCATGAGGGCCTCCTCTTCCGTCGGCAGTCCGTGCTTCCACCTGTGCTCTGATATGAAGACGCGCATCATCGATCGCTGCTGAGCTTGGAATGCCAAGGTTGCTTCCATATTCAGGTTCCACCGGTTCCTGTTCAGCGGCGTCACGACGGTAATGCCCGTCTCCCATGGGATCCGCTTGCCCTCGTGGTAGCACCTTGAATTGAGGAGGTCCAAGTCTGTGTGATCCTGCACGCCCGAGCGGATCCGCTTCAGCAGCCTTTGCAGTTCAGGATCTCCCGCAGCGCGCACCTGTTCATCCAGCATGATGACCGTCGTGAATTTCTTCCATAGCGCGTGCGCCTTGTCGTGCTGGTGGCGTTGCTCGACCCTGAACGAGTTATCCGCGTCCCAGGGGATGGCCGCACTCGGCAGCAGTATTGATCTCTCCTGGACCGGCCGAAATTGGTGAAAGTCTCCGCAGAAAAGGACCATGGGGATCCCTCCAAAGTCCTGTTGCGATCCCCGTAGCCGACAGAGCTGTTCGTTTACAGCATGCAGCGTTCGCGACCCAAGCATGCTCACTTCATCGATGACAAGCA